GTTTGTAGCAGGTCAGTCGATTTTCCACTGGAAACATGATATGATGCTATGCAATCTTACCGCCTTATAAAACTGCTCTGGTATTTTCATCAGTGGTTTGATCGACCAAGAACAAGAAAGCGTCTCAGTCAGTAGTGGGCAAAATCCGTATGTCTATTCATTTCCTCGTAGAAGTAATCTTTTTAGACCGAGGATTATAACCTTACATCTCTTGAGCAGGAGACTGTAACGAAATTTTTTGCATTCTGGACGAATTCATTGTCCTTATCATCAATTTTATGCCTTTAGTTGTTATTTTGAACCGCTTCAGTGAATACGACCATCTGCCGAACTTCGTTCACAACAAGGTTGCAGCAAAGTTGTTAGGCGTAGGAATACATTGTGAAATTGAAAACGGAAGGTGAGAGATTTTATGTGAACTTAGCCAGAAATGCCCTGGGCTAGTGCATTTGCTTAATTGAAATGACCAAGGTTGAGAAAACACCCTGCTGATAAGTGATTTCTTCGGGTAGTTTAAATACGACAGGTCGCTATCACATCCACTCAGTGTTAGTCAGACGTTAATTGAATGAATGGTAGCGAAAATGATAGAACGCCCAAAGTGGTTTATTGATAGATTAGATATAGCATAGCCAGTGTTAACAGCTTCCATGAGAGGTTCCAAGTTACTTCAACATTTATCGATAAGTTGCAATAACACTTTGCTGAGCCTCGTTCCCAATTCCTCGAACTATATCGTGTTCATTCGTCTGCTGCTAACCGCAGGAATCATCATTTTCTTGTAGTAATCCTTCTCGCAGAGCAGCAGGCCATTCTTCCATCTATCGAATGTCTCTCATGAATTGAGTCGAACGGCGTAGAATGCTCCGGGTTTCCAGATCGAATCACAATCGTCGAGCTTTCGAAATGTTTGTGAAAGAAGTTTTAAAGCTGAACCCAAACGTGCCAGACCATCTGTGAATGATGGCTCCAATAAGGACAACGGAATCATGGAAGAGATGTTGTGGCATAATGGAAGGACTACAGCCATTTAAAAATTTCGTGATGACACAATATGACAGCACGACATTTCATTCTTCTTTGGAGACTACAATGGTTCATCGTATCTTTGTTGAGCAAACGCGAGGTGTTATTATTCTTTATTCACGAATAAGCTGACGTTTCGGCGGATTTCGCCTTCTTCAGAGCCTGGAAAGGTCAAGTTGACAGCAATCTACTCGGCCATACGCCTCCATAACCAAACAAAGAAACTCTAAACCAAGATTTCAATCACACTGAACACAGCTTTCCACACTCACCGCCTTCTATGAGTCTTCCACAAAGTATGTCGCATGAAGACCAACAGCACAGAAATAACATGGAAGCATAATGTGCCCCTCACATCAGAATAGCAGTCTTATATACTGCCCTACATCACGCGTGATAATGAGGCATTCTTCCCTGCGGTTCATTTTCGGATTTCTGGAATTAATCTAGAACACCTCGAGAGTTTTGCGCGCTTGTGTTCTTGATTCGTGTGCGAGGACCGTGAAACATACTTCAAAGTTCTCCCCGTTATGTCTCTGGGTCCTATGCGTGCCTAGCGGGGTATTTGGTCTATTTTTGCCGGCTAGGTGTTCTTTTAGCGGACACAGAGGGGTCTGCCCGTATCGCCAATGCATTCTCTACCACTGGGGCAAATTATGCAATAGAGATGAAGCGCTAAATAGGTTCGAACAACACCAAGTAGTGGCCCTACTAATAGCAGCATTTCCTCCGCCGTTCTTTAGACAACAAGAACCTTATATTGAAGTTGATGTTAATTCTCGGATGTTTGCGAATGAAACTCTCAAAGTCCTTAATCACTATCGCGCGAAAAGATACAGCTCAAACCTCACTCCAGTGCAAAAAAGTGGTAGGCGAGAGGTACGAGAGCTGATAAGGTTGAAAACCATAAGACTATCCGTTAGTGATAAGGGTGGAGAGTTTGTCGTAATTCCTCATCAGTTAGGTGTGGAGATAACGAAAAAGCATCTTGAAGATGCTTCACTTTATCGCCCATCATCTGAGAAGGAATTTGAAAGTAAGTAGCGAAAATTGAACCACAAAGGGGCTAAAATGGCAAGGGCTGCTGGTTTAAAACCATCAGCTATCTCTCAACTTAAAGTTGACTTACCAACATGCTCCGTCTTGTACTTATAAAAACTCATAAGTTAGTATCCAGCGATGATCTTCCGTCTACCGATCCATCACTATTTAAAGTTAGACCTATCATTAGCTGCGTAGACGGGCCAACGGACAGGATAACATGGCTTTTAACCCTAATATTTAACCAGTTGTCAAAACACAATCCAGCCCATCTTACGAATACCCAGATGTTTCTGGATCGTCTACGTACTGCGCAGCCCAACAGCGCGTGCGTGAGGGAGTCTTTCGACGTTACCGCCCTTTATAGAAACGTGTCGAATGACTTCGCAATGCAAGCCATATTCGAACTCCTTACACAACGCGAAGGAGAAATAAACATGCATGGCTTCAAGATAGAGCACCTTATGGCACTCTTAAAAAAATGCTTGAGCTGCTCAATCTTCAGATGGTCAGGAAAGTAGTACGCTCAAACAAGAAGGTTGGCAATGGGGCAACGACTGGCTCCACGCCTTGCCATTGCATTTATGTCTAAGGTGGAAGCACCGGTGACTGATCTCAGGCCGCTACTCCACTGTAGGTATGTAGACGACTGCTTTGTCCCTTGCTCAACACAAGAGGAAATGGACAAATGCTTCTAATTGTTAACGCACAGTCAGAGTATATCAAGTTCACCCGAGAAAAGCCGAAAGAAAAATGGCTTCCACTCCCGAACATCCAAATTCACCTGTTAAAAAATGGCTACATTACAAAGTGGTACCGAAAGCCAAGTAGTAAAAACATTTTGGTTACCTCTCCTTTCACCCCTCTCACACGAAAAGGGCGCTTATAAGAAACATGTTTCGGACAGCAACTAACGTGTGCACGGGAAGAGAGCAGAGAGGGGAGTCCCGGAACTTGGCGCGGCAAATAGCCATTTCTAATGGCTACGAAACTGTAGCTCAGGATAGGTGTAGGGAAAATCCTAGCTCTCCAAACGGCAACTATAGCGATAGAAGGGTCCCGTTTATCCTACACTTCATCTCAAATGATGTAAGTGCAGCTACAAAACGTTGCTTAAGAAAACCTGGTCTAGAGAGTTCGGCAAACGTAGTTGAAACGCCACCAAATAATTTTAGGCGCCAGCTAGTTCGTAACCGCCTATATGACTGTCTATGTACAACGCAAAATTGCATAATTTGCCCTAATGATAGGGACGGTGATTGCATGAGCTCGGGTATAGTTTATCTGATCTCCTGTAAGACGTGCGGAGACGGATGCTTTGGTAAAAGGGTAGACCATTCTGTGTCTGTATAAAAGAACACCTAGTTGGCAAACATAGACCAAATACCCCGCTAGGCACGCTTAGGACCCAGAGACATAACGGGGAGGACTTTGAAGTATGTTTCACGGTCCTCGCACACGAATCAAGAACACAAGCGCGCAAAACTCTCGAGGCATTCTGGATTAATTCCAGAAATCCGAAGATGAACCGCAGGGAAGAATGCCTCATTATCACGCGTGATGTAGGGCAGTATATAAGACTGCTATTCTGATGTGAGGGGCACATTATGCTTCCATGTGATTTCTGTGCTGTTGGTCTTCACGCGACATACTTTGTGGAAGACTCATAGAAGGCGGTGAGTGTGGAAAGCTGTGTTCAGTGTGATTGAAATCTTGGTTTAGCGTTTTCTTTGTTTGGTTATGGGGGTCTTTGACGGAATAGGTTGCTGTCAACTTGACCTTTCCTGGCTCTGAGGAAGGCGAAATCCGCCGAAACGTCAGCTTATTCGTGAATAAAGAACAATAACACCTCGCGTTTACTCAACAAAAATACGAAGAATTACTTGATCAATGTCGAGGTTAATAGAAAGTCGGTCGTGGGAGTTACTGCGATGGTTCATTTTGGCGTACAACCGTCATTGACAAACATAGAAATCCGAAATCAGTCTCTGATCTCCTGACTTTGTAAGCGCTCGTCGTTTTCAGCGTAGCTTTCAGAATATAAGAACATCGGTACAGGGTTCACATTAGATAAAGAATGTGCTTTCTGGGCAAAAAACATGGCCTCAAATATTGACTTAAGCGATGTCTGGCAATGATGTATTTACCACTTTTAGCTCACTTTTGTTTTTTGGAGTTCCTGGAAAACACTTTTATGAAGTTTTGGTAGCTGGTGTTTCTGATTTCTTTGCTGTGATCTTATCATAGGTCCATGAAAATATCCTGTTTGATTCCATTCCCCATACTGTCTGAGAATAATGATTTGTTCCGTATTCATTAATATGTCTCAAAAAATATGTTGCATTTTACATGCCCTTTCTATCGGTTCTCCAACTATTATATTAACATCGAATGAATAATTTAGGCAAACGATAACGCTTACAGTCCGCTGGTTGGATAAAAGCAGAGAAGCACAAGAGAAGTGGGAGCTAATCAACAAATCCTTCAAAGACCAGATTAAAACAAGTCGTATGTTATTGCTTAGTGGCATCGGTCGTTGACGTAAAGGGTTCAACGTACACGACTCATTCGTTAGCGTTTCTGTGAAACATGGCGTAGTTATTATAATAAATGAAAGGGCAAGTTGACAACCTATCAAGAATGCGCCATCCACTTAGTTCTCTTCGTAGCCTCGCAAAGGTAATTGAGTGCATATTTGATCCATTCATGCACCGACCTATCATATCAGTGTTTTTTTATCTTTACCGGATATACGATACAGAACCATTGAACCCGTCTTTACTGAGTGCCTCAGGCACTTCTATCCATCGCGCTACACCCGTTCCATAAACTCCAGGACCACTATGGCTACAGGTCTAGATAAAATTGAGTTACTATCCATGAATTCACAATAGATTACCCCACTTTTGTGTTCTATAGCTTCATTACACGGTATGCTGATATGTGATGGCCCATGTCATGGTATTCTCGACTACACAAAAATGATGGAATATCCGGATTGTGGTCATAGGATATGCAAATGGTGTCAGTTTAACTCACTCAGTGTTCCGAATGCTGATGGTGAGTACCATCTTTCAAGAGTTTTATGTCATGGTCAGTCTAGAAAATATTAGTGTGTTTCTTTAAAACGAACTTTGGAGCTTCATCAGATAAAACCGTGCTGGTCGCTAGACAGAGGCTGATTACCTGGGCACTAGATGTTTTCACTGATTCAGGATCTCCTGGCTGTTGCGTGTCGTCATGTGTTCGTCAGACACTCATCAATCGAGTTCCACTCGACAAATATCGGTTTGTGACTGGAAACTCTTCTTCCTAATGATTTGTCAGTCTCATGTTTTTACAACTCATGGGAAAAAGCCAATGCAGGAACAGATTTAAGGATCCAATTCAGAGCAGATTTCCTAAGATTGCTTCTTCGTTTTACTGCCTCACAGTGGTGATTGCATGTTTCTGGGAAGGCCCTTGTCGTGAATACCTAATGATCATTCTTTACCAGTGGAGACCATATCGGCAGTGACTTTTTGAAAAAGAACAATCTCCAATCAATATAAGAATGCCATTTGGCAATGAATTCCATTCGTGTCATCGCAGCACTTTAGCACAACGAGTGGTCCAAAATAAATCTTCGAAGAGTGTTAGGCAAGCAAAACAACTAAATGCGCCCTATCCAGATGGAGACATCTTCAGAAGAATTTCATCAAATTCTTTCAAAAATGGCCAAAACCTGTCTTTGCGATGGTCTTCTGCAGCGCAGTGTTAGAGGTTCGCCGCATTACACACATGGTCGCTGGCTCGATAACGGTATACTCATCTCCCTACTCCTGCCGGTTCAGCAATTTTTTTTATCAGAGTTCTTTAAGAGGATAGAATAACCGATCTGGTAGATCGATAAGTCTTCGAAAATTATTGTATGGTATAAATGTGCACTCAGACACGTTTGCGAATGGAATGGAATGGATAGCGTACCCTTAAAGGGTTCATGAACGCCGTGCACTTTTATCCTTTATTTCTTGTCTACTCTTTTGTAGTCTCTTCGCTCACTTCAGTCACCAAATCAAGCGCTTCTAAACATTAATGGCCATCCACTTCTCTTAGTGTTAAATAATGTTGTATTACGCAATTTTGCACGAGCTTCTCTCCATGTCCAGTAAACCGCCTTATATTTCAGACATGAAGCTCAGGCACATGGCACTCCCTTTGTTGGAGTAAAGCAGTCATCGACAAGAATCACTCCCACAGCATGCGTTTTTTTACCTCGGTTTTGAAATTATGGGAAAAAATCAAAATTAATGATAATTTTGCAGCGATCGCCAGGTACGTTTAGAATAGTGCCGACAGAGTTGCTCGATGTCAGGATCCTTATATTGGGAAAGGTGTGTTTTAGAATTGTGATAATAAAAGTAATTATATGATAGTAACCATTAAAAGAATAAGCCATTAAAAGTAGGGACGATTGTCAAAAACAAGCGCTACTCCATTGGTTTCCTTTTCGATACACCTGAAAGCGCTATGAAGATTACACAGATTTATTAGTGCTATATTTCCTCTCTTCAGTGTTTTTTTTGGACTATCTGTACTTGTCTGTACTTTTACTTGGGGACCTCCACAGCATCGGCAACCATCACCCAATCTGCTTGCCATATGTCGTCTACAAACTCCACTCGAGTAATCTTAAGCAGGGCTCACAGAACACTGGACGAAAGAAAGCCATGTGAGCAAAAAGGGTTACGAAAACGATCGAGTGTAATGGACCACATCCACACGAGAACAAGTTTCGTTTGAGTGCAAAAAACTGCTCTGTCTCGCTTTCGTTAATTTAAAGAAATCTTTTGAATCAGTTGAGATAGAAGTAGTCATGGCATAGTCATGGCACAGTCATAGCGTCATTTTACAACCAAAATTATCATCATTCTATAGCGATATTTCTTACTTGGATACTTGGTTGGCCGATCCACACTGGCTCTGCGGACGCCAGCATGAATTCTATTTTTCCGAGTTTTGCTGAGTTAGCCATTGTGGTTCTCTGGAGTCCCGAGGTCAGCCAGACCAAAGTCCGCGCCAGGTCGTCACCACCACAGGCAGTCGACGCCCTTGTGGACCAAAGGGAGATTTACCACCATGCGACTTTGATACCAGGACGGTGGTGGATTCTGGTATTGATTTACTCTTAGCCAGGCTTCCTGATGGAAACGCCGGACTCCTTCTTAGCTTGGGAGACCCTGCTGGGGGAAGAATCCTTCCGCCGTACATTGCAGCCCGTCACCCAGGAATACCTTTTAGCCACGATGATGCGGTAAACCATTGGGAGGATGGCGATGTTAAGATCGAGTAAACGGAGGGGCGAGGAAAGACGATAGCATCTTGCTAAAGTTATTTTCTGCCACCCTCAAGAACGTGAGGGAACATTGGAATGGGTCAACATGGGAGTGAAAATTTATGGTCAGCAATCACACCATTTTCGCTTTACTGGTGATATCGTTCTTAAAACACCAGGCATTAGCCAGGCGTAGCGAGTGCTAGCTGACTTTGATCACGTTTGTGGAAAGGTTAGTCTTCGACAAGATCTCACAAAAACCATATTCATGAGGAATCGTATACCTATTCGCGCTTAATGAAATGAATATCACAACGTTGCTGAGATATTTGCAAAACTCTGGACCGCAGGTGTCTATGGTGGGGAACGAACGCGCTATTATCCTTTCCGGGGAGTAACGCGTTCACCACCACACCATGCGGGTCCTTTGTTTCGCACGTTTCTCAGCTATTTCTATCGATCTTTTTGCCACAGCAATCACCCGTCAGCGGGGTTGATCTGGGGAGCGCAAATCGGCATAGAACCCAGTTAAGCTATGGCTGTAGTTGAAATCACAATGTTTAAGGTTTTGTTTTCTGCCTTCTATAAATTTCATGGCAGGTTACTAAGCGAAATACAACCACAACGTTGCTGAGATATCTGCAAAACGAAGGACCCGCATGGTGTGGTGGTGAACGCGTTACTCCCCGGAAAGGATAATAGCGCGTTCGTTCCCCACCATAGACACCTGCGGTCCAGAGTTTTGCAAATATCTCAGCAACGTTGTGGTTGTATTACTATAACGTAACTTTGAGATTCTAGCACTCTACTGAACTACCTATATAAGACAAACAAAGATGATCCATAAGATGATTCCGCAAGATGAAAACTTCATCCTAGTATAGCTCACGTCTGTTCCCTCAAGTGTTTGCTGTCTCATCTTGGTTGTCTACTAGCAAAAGATATGTTTCTGGTTGTAACCCTACGAAGTTCATTCCCTCATTGGGGTGATTCTAGTTTGGTCAGGATTAAATCAATTCCACGAAACGCCGCCTATTGGGAAAAGAAATTCGGTGGAAAAATGACGAATTCCCTTTCGATTTATATCGGGCCGCGTTGTCGACCTCACAATGCCGAGTACGGATTTCTTAGCATTCCAGAAAAAAATGATCCTACCAAGTCAGCATACCAACTAGTCAAATGACCAAGGTACCGAAGTCCGCATGAAAGAAGACTGGTTGGTGTTGAACTGACAGCTGTATGTAACAGTATATTTGTTGGTAAACAAGAAAACTAGCAACATTAATAAACTCGCGATTAACAGTTGTTTAAAGAGGTACTCCATCACATAAAACCTTGGTCCAATGCACGATTTTCTAAAATTTCTCTTAAAGAACTTTGAGTTCTTGGAAGTTCTAAACCTTCGCAATTGATGAAGTGCATTTTTCAAGTATAATAAGGAGTAAGGAGGACTACTAGCTAAGAAGTAGGAGCAATCGGGATGATTTCAATTTAAAACCACAATACGTTGTTCTTTTTCAAGTGAGCACCAATGGGTAGCACCTTGGTTTCTTAATGGAGTAAAAGATTTAAGGTACTGACAGGTCTGGGACGCTTTTATGTACCAGGACCAGTTTCGAATCGCTTTCGTGAATTATAAAAATTTGACGACACCGTATACATTTATTGAGAAAGGGAGTTTCAAATGCATTCCACGTTATTCAGGTTTTTACGGTTCGCTACGTTAACATTAGTCCCAGTTTAGTCCTAACCATAGTTTAAAGTAGACATTCTGCAGAACGTACTTTCAGGATTGGCAGCGAATGCCTGTGTTTGGCGTAGTTTCATATCAGCTTCACTCAGTGGCCCAGATGGCAATGGTGATCTCATTGATGAGTACATACTGTCGACGGATTCCATTGTTCGATCAGTCATCATCGAACCGGTAAAGTCACATGACTGAAATCAAAATTTTCATATTGAATCTTCTCCTCGACTGTTCAATCGTTTCTCTGTTTTGTTCACTTAGCCAATCAATCACTCTCAAAGGTCTTAGTTTGATTTGATATCAATCTCGCAAATGGCGTCCTCATGACAAGATACGTAAACATCAACTTGGCTGGATTGCAATAATAGTGTAAGAGAATGATCTCCTTAGCGATCTCTCTCACGGGAAATTATAAAATGCAATAAGGATGATTTCCTGTTCACTATGTTCTTTTTTGACCCCAAAACTGATCTCTAGGGAAGTTCCCAGGTTGTTACTAGAGACAATGAAATATGTCACAATGGATCAAAATCAAATGTATACCATTGTGGTGGATCAGACGGCGACCTTGCGAATATGCTGTTAGGCAGGCGACAATTGATATCACGGTTTATCCATCACAGTGCAGCTTTGGGAGGAAATATCAGAATTAATTCATTATAGACTACCCTACCTAAGGAGGTGATATCAGGCTCCCATGAATCGTAAACTATTCTCTTCGAAAGGACTATAGCGGGATAAATTCTCTGCTCTGCATGCTATAAT